GCACTCTGAGAATGTGGTAATAATTTTAAAAAAAACTGGTGCAAAGCTTATACCTTTCGGAATATCTAGTACAGTCTTTGCAGAGTTCCTCATCCTGACTCATAACGTTGCGTTTATTAGTAAGATTATCAAGACTACTTAGGCATTTGCACGGAAAGTCCAATGTTAAACATGCCAGTGTGCAATGTATTTACACGCCGAGCGCAGCTACCGATCCTGAGCTGCACATTTAAATTGAGATCACGCCGCCTGTTTGATGTATACCACTTCCTCGAAGATTTCCCGAGCAGTCGCTTATTTCCTCGCAGTGTCGCACATTGATACGCGAGTCGTATCGAAGAGAACGGCATGACAATCCTGTTCCGATACTTTGAGAATGTGCTAATAATTATCTAACCCACAAAGAAGAAAACGCTTGAATAGAAGGAAAATTTTGCCACATCTCTCTAATAACTATGGCAGTCGAAAGCCTTGCACGCAGTTGGAGACGACAGCGCAGAAGATGCATCAGCGAGGAGCAGGATGGGCGGGGAAGAAAAGGCGGATAAGATCAAATGCCTTTTTTCAAAAACCTTTGATTTTCAGTGCGAGACGCGGATTTTATCTGCATCTGCGAGCGAGAATTTTTGGCGTTTATTGAAGGAAGCACAAACTTCATCTACAGGCATGCAATTTAAACGGTGTAAGCAGCAGAGACAAACTGGATGTAAAACTGCACCGAAAATTGCAACACTGCAGCAAAAGACGTTAGTTTTAAACAACATTGCAAAAATGTAAGAACTAATTATTTAGTATGGAATGGTAAAATTTTGCACGCACTCTCAACTGAAAGACGTCGAGTACATCGCTGCCTCTTGTGCATTCATCAGTGAATGCTATTTTAACATTCTTTGGATAGGAACAGTCGTCGCTTTTTCCAAAGCTAATGCCATTAGCAAATCAAAGTTGACAAGTTCAGGCGTGAAAAAATGAACCTGATTAAGTTCTGCACAGATGCAAGCAAGGGGCATGATCTAGAGTAAAAGGACGCATGCGAAATATCGAGAAAAAGTCCGTAAAAACTCCCGATTTTCTCAAAGTTTCGCATTATACAGGGAAAAATACACTTGAGCTGAGTTGTGATAACACACTGAATTCGGTACCGTTATCAAAAAAGATAACTGTATTTAATTGTCATGCTCAGGTACAGTAGCCACTGTGGTCTCTGTATGATGCTTTCAGCTTTTTTTGTTTGGTTAACTTTTTTTGATGCAGAATAGATTCATAAGTTTTTTTTTTTTTTTTGGTTTACTGAAAGTTACAAGGCCAATGGAACATATATCCTATTTTGCAAATTTCGACTTCTCTCACTCTGTCTCTCTCTTTCCTTCTGTAAAGGAGCCAGTGACGGACAAGACAAAATTACTATCCAGTTTTGCCCCAGCAGGATTCAGCTATGAATAGACGCAGTCCGATCTTGCGACTACCTTCACTATGTGGCCCTAAAAAGCGTTGTTTCTCTGTTAAAGGCAGAATGCTACGCTGCTTCAGAGCAATGGCAATGTTGTCTACGTGGTGTATAAAAGAGTTGGCAGTGTAGAACTTACGTCTTTTGCGAGAGACCCTTTTGCGGGGGGTAACGCCGGCAATGTGTTGCGTCCAGTCACCTCTTACTCGATGGCCATATTCGGCGATGAACTGTAAAATGGTATTTCTTTATTAGTTACTGGAAGACAATGCGTTGTATTCATTCAGCACTCCCTTCCAGCCGTTTTGTCACTTCCATTTCATGTTACTTCTGAGTCATGAGACTCGTAGCTTGCGCTTCCTTGTTGTCCCAGCCTCATTCATTCAAAGCACTGCTTCTAACACAACATCGAACATTTTGCCACAGTGCCTGAAAAGCCCAACCTCGCGCACAGAGAGTGTCGGTTTTTCAGGGCGTTCTGCGTATGTGCCGGTGTATCCACTGAACGCACTGTTATCGCTATCAGTGTACGGCAACTGCTCAATATAAACAATCCCAGTTGCGTGACGCGAACGATGATCCGCTGGCGGTGACGGGAATCTGTCGTGTTGCTCATCTTCAAGCGAGTATGTTATAATCCCTTCGAAAAACGGCCGATCCGCATTTAGTAGATAACAAGTCCAGTGAAAAACGTCTTCTAATCTGCAATTTGGAATTTATTTCAACAGAACATCACAGCACAGCTAACGACGTGTTCTTTGCAGCCTCCCAAAAGGCAACAGCGGAAGGACTATGCGATAAGCATAGTACAATTGCAAAAATAAAATGTCTTCCGAAGTACTGGATTTCAATAACAGCTGTTATATAAATACCATCTAACTGCTTGCTAACTGTCCTTGGCTTTAACAGAGATGCGACGGGAGTCGGCAGAAAAACGAGGGGAAATAAAGTGGTGCAGGGAGACCGTTTGAGAGCGAGCTTTTGATGATATTTTGCAGCTACAGTGGTTGCTGATAAAGCGCAAGAAGCTTAATATGCTCCCTGTAATAAAAATTGCAAGTTTATAATAGCGTGATTATTTTTATGATACTTTCCATAAAGCAAGAGAAAAAAAAGCAGCAGATTCACCTGGCGCTTCTTTCTCCGCATCCCCAGCGTTGATCACGCCAGCTAAAGCAAACTGAGCAAACACTGGCCTGCCCGAGACCGGCAGTTGCTGTTGCTTTTTAAACACGAAACTCTAACACTGAAAGATTAAAAGACATGCCAATATGCAACAAATAACACCTGTCATAGTGAACAACGACTTCACGTTCCGTCTTGTACTTCCCACACGTCACGTCGACGTCCTTCGGAAGCTCACTAGGATGCATGCGCCCAGCGTTCAACATTACACAGCAGTCGTTCGTCAACGGATGCGATAACTGCAATTTGCGGCTTTAGTGCTCAAAAAAAATTTTCGGTAAAACTGGTTTGATTATCAAGATTACCAACACTGCTCTGACAGTCGGTGCGAAAAATCGCTGTTCGTGAATATCACTGGGACGACCCCATACGCTGGTTGCAATCAATGTCAAGCCTTTCCATTCGCAACATTATAACTCCAGTTAGTACCTATGTATGGGCGTCACCTCTTTGGAGGTTCCCCGAGTGACTGTTTGCTTTCTTGGAGTACGTTTCATTATTAAACGACTTCCACCGGCTGTTAGTAAGGCGGGCAATTCCTCCTGCTTTCAAATTTTACATTCATAAACAGCCACAATTACTTCCTGTACGCTGCTTAGCTGGCGCATTCCGATTGTTTATATCATTATAAAGAGACACCTCAATCATCCTTCGCTCCATTCTTGCCTCCGTTACAGAAAAGTGATTTAACAATCGAAAAAAAAAAGAGTACCGTAGGGATTCAGTTGCGGGGCAGCTTTTTTCAGTTGCCTTTTTTCCTTAACTAAAAGCCAGTTCCCGAATTAAGTCAGATTTTCTGCTTTACAGGCAAAAAAAAGCTCTCCATAATTTATTCTGCGCAAGAGGTGGAGGCATTCGGAAGCAGCACAATTGGTAGCATGCGTCAAGCAGTCACTCGCTGGAAGGGTTGTATCAGGAGTTGTCAAGATCCATGCTAATAGCGGTTCCCCGATTTGTGTCACCATTAATATACCATCGAAATGAACGAATCTGTTCGACTGACTTACAAGCGAAGTCGAACTCTCGACTTTTCGCACAACAGCACTTTCGCTATGCTCCTCCAGCTAATTATGATGTAAGTGAAAATGAGGCACTGTAGCGATCCGGAACAAAACTTGTAAAAAGTATGGAGCAGTTCTGCTAGGAAGTTGATTGCATACCTAAGGAACATTCCCCTTTGGCGTTGTGGGTATCCTGTAAATGAGGTCTTTTTGATCCAGATGACCAATGAAAAACAGAAGCCATCAAATTTCGTTGGGTGTCCCGTCCAAAACGAATTGTCTGGGAAAGGGAAGTGTCGAATCTATATCGAAACGTGATAACCTTGACGATTGCAAGCTTCTGGCGAAAACAGATCGAGCTGATTTGATCAAAACGCGCACAGTAACCTGTGCGAAAAACACCCATAGAACTCCGGCACGGGAACTCAAAACGCATCTGGCGCGCCAATGAATGGACTGCTACAAAACACTCGCCGAAATACGTTTCACTGATAGCCTGGAATTAGCACATTATTCCAGCAGAAATGCACTTCAGTAAAATGATACAGCAAACTGTGGAGAAAGAACTGGCGCACGGGAAGGCGAAGGGCCAGGGGAAGGACGAGCTAGGTCTCACTTCTCTCCCTGTTTGTGCCAAAAGGAGTGAAAAACGTTTGCGACTGAATGAGAAGCCAGCTGGGCGCGAAAGTAGACAGCACAGCAAAAAATTATATGCTGCTTAGATCCGCTCGAAAGATCACAAAAAGTAAAAGAAATTGTGCAGAAACTGCAGTCATAGCGTTTAAGCACTGGAAATTTCATACTCAAAAAAAAAAAAAAAATAATTGGCCAACGCACGGGCTGTCCGTGCGAAGACGCGTTTTTTGCAGAGTTCCCCGCAGTTTTTATCGCTACCGGCATCGGTTTTTTCGGCAGATACTTCTAG